CGGTAAGTTGAGGAGTAATTATGAATCATACTGAGAAAGCGAACTTTGAAAAATAAATTAACGAATGTAAATAATTTTGGTAAAAAAATATATAACTTATATATGTGATATAGAATTTTTCATGAAAACGGTTTGCGTGGGTAAAAAATAGATCGAGGCAAAAAGGATTTTACAAAAATGCGAAGGAATGGATATACAGTATTAGTAATGATGATGATAAATTATAGAATCTTTGAATATAAAATATATTCAAATAATTATAAAAAGATAATGTTCAAAAGGGCACTATAGAAAGGTCATTAAATCCTTTCCGAAGAAGAAAAGGACCTTGTTATTTCTTTTCTCGTTTCATGTGAGTGGGAAAAAAATTTTAGAACACAGCCATGCTTCATAACATGGAGTCGTACAATTTACAACATCTTTTGACATTGGAAGCAATATTGGCACATCGCTCCACAACACTATATTCATTCCATTTATGAACTCTCATCATTGGTTGATTATTCATACGTTTGACCTCAATAACGTAATGTGATGCTTGGTGAATGTTACGAGGAAGAAATACTGACATCCTTCTCGGAAGAAATACTGACATCCTTCTCGGAAGAGAACCACGTGAGATGCAACATGGAGAGGATTTAACTAATGGTGGGACTGCGTCATCATTCTGATAAGTTCCAACAATCCAAGAACCTCCTTTAAAATCGAAGGGCAAATTAAGTTTTCCAATAGACTTGACTTGTTCTTTAACCCAAGCCAAAATTTGATTATAATTGTTAGAATGGTTGTTAATACTTTGGTCTTTGTAAAAATTGTCATCTTCTTTTAAATGTAAATGAATCGAGTTATGCATCCTACGCCGAGTGGAGGGCGAAGAAGGTCGTATTGTATAATGGGTAGGAGTATAATGAATTTGTTCCAAGTTACAGCTAAACCTGATGATCTTTTTATTTTTTTTTAGGTCCAATAGGTATGACAGACCGATATTTTTGTTGGTCACTAAATTAGCTCCACCCTCCTTTTTTTAGAAGTTTTTGAAAAATCGAAAATGAGCAAAGCAGACTCTTATTATTATAGATTCAAATGATCGTTAAATTAAAAAAAAAAAAATGTGTCGTTTTTAATAGAAGCAACGGTTTATTCAAAAGTAAATCCTAAGAGAATATCGGTCGGAAGTATAAATGCTTGATTTATTATTTTTGGCGGTTTATCAAGCGGATCAGTAGTACCTTTATCTAAAATTTCAAATTTTTGCACGGCTGTAAGATTATCGAAAGATGTATTAGTGTTTTGAGGTATGTTGTGGGCTAAGTTTTGAGGTTGAACAGGCTGATTATTCATGACGGTAAAAAAAATGGTTGATTTTTTTTTTTTTAACACCAAAATGCTTTTTTACTTTTATTTATCTGTTTTTTCATTAAGTATTAAAGTTTAAAATAAGAATCCGCAGTTTTTAAATCAAAGGAAGTAAATGAGTAATATTTATATTTTCATTCTACGACAGTGTAAGCATGAAATATAAAGAGACAATGATGAAGGAAGAAAGAATATTGATCTGATTTTTAAAGAAAAGAGACGTTACAAATGAAGTCTATTAAATGTAATTTTTATTTATGTACAGTACATTAAATTGTTTTAGGAGAATTCAATTTATATACTTTATAATTCATTTATATACTATATATAAAATTTATTTTATATAATAATATAAAAAAAAAAAAAAAAAAAAAAAGAAATACCTAATTGTGAATCTAAAAAAAAATAGGTAATAACCATATTAGCGTTACGTATAAGATATGCAATGGGCATGGACATTTTGACAAAAAATAAATTGTATTTACTCAAAATATTTTAACTAAATATGTTTAGAATTAAACAGAGAACATAATCATATAATTTCTATTTTTAATTTATGCTTGGATACTTGGAAAACCAAAATATACAAATACTTAAAGGACAGAATAATTTTATTACTTTTTTGATAATGCAAGTTTCGAAAGAAACTTTGTAATAAAAGATAACTTAATCCTCGTTACAAGTATCTAGCGCATTATTTTAAGCCATATCTTTTATTATAATTATAATATTATTTTTAAAATTACCATATTATTCCATTGTTTGTATAAATATATTTATTTATATTTATATTTGTACGTATTAAGTTAGATAAGAATGTCAAAAAAAATTTTTTATTAACAATTATTTTCTTTGTCGAAGAATATTTTACGTATTTGAAAAATATTTGTATACAAAAGGAAATCGATGCTTACTAAATTTGAAAGTGGAATAATTTTTTTTTTTTCATAATATAATATTAATAAGCATAAATAAATACGTACGTATATAAAAGTATAAAATATATAAAAAAGTATAAAATATATACGTAAAATATTGTATATCAAAAAGTATAAAAATATATAAAATATTGTATACGTATAAAAAAGTATAAAATATATAAATATAAAATATAAAATATAAAACATATAAAATATAAAATATAAAATATAAAATATAAAATATATAAAATATAAAATATAAAATACTGTATATAAAATATAAAAATATGAGGCGTATGAAAAGTACAAAGAAAGATGTGTTTAAATAATATGTACGTATAATGAAAACTATAAAAAAAATATAATATCGATATATAAATACAAATAGTTTTGTAAACAAAATGTTAATAAAATTGTTACGTAGAATAATATTAAGATACGTATTAATATTGTAGAGAATCCTTTTCGGGGGTAAATGATGGATGTATACAGTCATTTTGTAAAATCTTTTTGCATATCATAACTGATAACTTACCTAACGCTAATGTTACTCAATAAGTCATTGTTTTGTAATATATATATCAGTTTAATATTAATAGCAAATACAGTACATCTATCGCTATGTACCGGTACCCACCGCCCAATTTAGAAATGATCATTGTTATTATTACAGTATTAAAAACGTGTTCTAAAATTAACGTTAACGTTAATTCGAATTAGGGTTAGAGTTTAGGGTTAGTATTAGAAAGAACGATAAAGCGAATTTTTAAAAAAAGCCTGTTTTTTTAATTTCAACGTTACACCTGATCGTTTGTGTAAATTCTACATAATTGGCCAAAAAACCGGTTATGTGCCTAATTCCAAATTTAGCGGTAGAAAGTAATTTATTAATTATTATTTTAATATAAAAAAAATGAACATTGAGGCTGTTTTCCAATATCGATTTATTTTATAAAATAAAAACTTTAGATTTTATCTTAATGTACTTTTATTATTAATCACAGATTTATATCACAGATTTCGCAGGTCCCTAGTTTGCTCAGAATTTTGAACAATTTACAAAACCTAATACAGATATTTATCTCAATTTCTATAGTTAATAAACATAGTAATAGCAATATAATAGCAATAGTAATAGTAAATACTGTAATAAATGAAATTAAGATTGTTACAATTCTTCAATTAATAAATGTACGAAAATAAACATATGAACGAAAATCTCCAGTAATTATTACAAATTTATAAGTATGATAATTAGGTCACAATCAGGTACAGTACATGTGTATAAAAAATTTATAAGTAAAATTCATATCATAATCAATAATCATGCCATATCACATAAATGATTGGCTCAAATTTTTATTTAACGAAATTGGAGATTTTCGCCCATAGTATACCCCCAATTTAATAAATATTATGTATAATCTGAGAGTGCTGAAATTTGCTCTATTTTGGGTTTAGCGTTAGGATATATCGTCTTTTCCCGATTTAGTCAATCGAAGATTAAAAAAATTACGTGAGATACACAATGTTTGAATGTATGTACTCGTGATGCATCCAGTAGCAAATTGCGCGCAAGACCATATTTATCCCAAAATAAATTTACCGTGGGACAAATCATGCATATACGTACGTACGTAAACTTACAGCAGAGACAGTTAAATAATTGGTTATCTGTTATCCTGAGTCAGCAATTACGTCGATCTAAACATGACCATCAGCCAATCAAATCAACCAAAATAATTAATATTCGAATAAACGATTTATTGCTACGTAATAAAGCTTTATTATTTTTAATTATTGCCATATTATCGTTATATT